TCACTGACTTTTAAATATCATATTTAAAAAAACTCCATAAACCAATAGCTTTTGTTCCATAAATGTGATCATAACTAATTATTTAAATAATCTATCAAAGAAATTCACCATGTTATAGGTTATGAGTCAAAACGAGGTCTTCATTTCCTTGTGAAATGACATTTGGCCTATAAAAAACCACCCCTGATTTTGAAAATCAAGCAAAATGATTACTAAAATAAGTGTGTTTGTCAGAATGAGTGCACTGGCTTTTTTTTTTTTTTTTTTTAGGTATGACTGAAATACATATGTCAACTATAGGCGCACACTATAAGGATTTGATATTATATATTACTAGAGGTCCAATGCACAAAATTAGTGCAAGGAACTCGGCCCTTGCAGCCTCAGAGGCTGCCTCAGCTCTCACAGCTCCGGCTTTGTCTGAAAGGTCATCTGGATGGTCTTTTCACTGTTCAGCTGTCTAATTAGCATATTACATTTGTATTACTATAGATGAACTGATCATCACAATAATTCCGGTTAACATCCCTTACCATACATAGCAACAAAAATGTTTTCTTGAGATGAAAACTTAGTAATTATCCTTAGTAACTTTCAAATATGCAGCACAGTATTGTTAACTATTGTTGCCATACATTATACATCCCTTAGACTAATTATGTTATTACTGAAAGTTTGCATCCTTTGACATCTTTCACCCATTTCACCCACCCTGTACCTCCCACCTCTGGCAATCACCAATCTGTTCTCTGTGTGTATGAACTTAGTGTTTTTTGTTTTGTTTTGTTTTAGATTAAATATATAAGTGAGATCATATGGTATTTGTCTGAAGTATTTCAATTAGCATCATGCCTTCAAGGTCCACCCATGTTGTCACAAATAATAGGATTTTATTCTTTTTATAAATGAACAATATTCCATTGTGTGATTGATTCAGTGGGCCATGACTTTTTTCCCCACCATTTTATTTTAAGAAGTCAAACACACACACCAGCTGAAAAAACTGCTCAGCGAGTACTCAAGAAGCCAACATCTTATATTCTGTAGTCAAATCCTTGCTATATTTCCTTTATCATCTATCTATCCATCAACTGAACTTACTTTTTATTCATTTCAAAGTTAATTGCAGACAGCAATTTACTTCATCCCTAAACATTTTAGGAGAGTTCAATATTTATGTTCTATATTTTTATTTATTTATTTTAAAATACTTTTCTTTATTGATTTCAGAGAGGAAGGGAGAAGGAGAGAAAGAAACATCAATTATAAGAATCACTGATCAGCTGCCTCTTGCACGTTCCCTATTGGGGGTGGAGCCCGCAATCCAGGCATGTACCCTTGGCCGGAATTTAACCTGGGACCCTTCAGTTCACAGGCTGATGCTCTATCCACTGAGCCAAACCGGCCAAGGCAATGTTCTATGTTTTTAAAGTTAATACATATAATAAAATGCACAAGTATATACTTAGACCTAAATTTTAATGAGTACATTCACCCATGTAAGCAACGACTATCAAGATATACATTTCCGCCGAAACTGGTTTGGCTCAATAGATAGAGCATCGGCTTGGGGACTGAAGGGTCCCGGGTTCAATTCCGGTCAAGGGCATGTACCTTGGTTGCGGGCATATCCCCAGTAGGGGGTGTGCAAGAGGTGGCTGATCAATGAGTCTCTCTCATCGATGTTTCTCTCTATCTCTCTCCCTCTCTGTACAAAATCAATAAAATATATTTTTTTTTAAAAAGATATACATTTCCACCATCCCAGAAAGTTCCCTAATATTGGGCCTTGGTTTGAACATAGGATCTGTCTCCAAAGTCCACAGTCTTTTTAAAGACACTATGCTACTTCGTTTTTAAAGACCAGAAGTGTAAATATATTAAACATAAATAATTTTATTTATAATCCTCAATAATTAAGGTAGCTGAAATATGACAGGAAGAAAATATCAGTGAGCCCAGATATTTAATAAGGTCTGAGGTAAGTTGACTATACCACCTACCCTCCACTAATTCCCACTAAAAAAACAAAAACTACTTCCCTCCCCAAGAATTCAAGAGTGAATCCAGGAGGGATGAATATAACACTTAAAACCATCTCATGTTTATCCTTATCTCTTCAATTAAATTAATATAAACTTGGGGCCAAAACCATTGTGTATGCTTGTTAGGCAAGCATGAGGTTAAATGCTGTATACTTCGGTGGTTACTTCAGGAGGCAGTGGAGAACTGAAGAAAAAAAAGATTTGTGAATCAACCAAATCTGGGTTCAAATCTCTCCCTATTTATTAGACATATATAACATGTACAAATTACTTAACTTCGCTAAGCTTCAGTATCTCATCTGTAAAATGAGGCCTATATTTTGCCTTCCTTTCAATTTCTCAAATGACCTACACGCAGAACCACGCACGAAAAGCCCCTAACCTGGACCTCAAGCTTTAGGGGAACAGCACTGGCCCTCCCCAAGATATGCCCCTCCCCACAGGGTGAAGAGACCTTGGGACCAAGGAGATATGCTCACCATGAACTCATACCTCTGCCACAGACTATGCTCTGTGGTAATCCAGACCTAGGAATTCCTTTTCCAAACAGTAGCAAGCTTGGTTTCCAAGGTCTGCAAGAATCTATTCCCTGGTCTCACTTCCTGAGAGAGTGTACAGTAGATAAAAATGAATGTGAGGAGGACACGTGTAAAACCACCCCTCAGGGTACAGAATGGTGTGCAGGGTAAAAAGAGATTTGGGTTTTAAGCTCAGAAGGTGAAGTGGGCTTGGCCCATATAGATACATTCTGGCATGTAACTCAGAGGAACCTAGGATATCTTAGCTCAAACCTGAACGCCAAGATCCATATGAAATTTTATTTGTCAACTAAGAAGGATAAATATATTTTATGTAACAGTTTGTTAGTTTAAGTTAAACATTTTTGATATGTGGGGTCTTCATTTATCTTTGCTACAGACCCTGCAAATATTATAACTTTGCCTGTCTACATCTGCCACTAATCACCTCACATGTGTATTGCCACATTCACTTTTAAACATCGTATTTAGTCATATGACGTCATGGTGAGTTTGATTACATTAACCCCATCACACAAAGAAACAGCCAGGTTTAAATCTGTCCAGCAACCTTTTACGTTATCTCCATATAACTGTCTTCTTTACTGCTAAATATCTGAGTTTCCTTCTCTACCCTCTCATCAATATTACACACTCCAAAACAATATGCCCTTAACCCCTAAATCCAGTCCTTATTCTCCAGGACCTCTCTTTAGCACCTGATACTGTTAAAAACTTTCCTTTCTTAAAACAGCATTCCCTTTGGCATATAAGGCTAGACTATTTCTGTTCTCTTAGCTTTTGCTGTTTCTCTGGTTTTTCTTCTTTCTCTTAGAAGAAATATGAATAAATTACATTATTCATTTTATGAAAATGTTCCTGAATAGTGTGAGCACAAAGCATATTCAATAAAAGGTGAGGTTTTCTTAAAATCTAAAAACAATATCCACTATTTTTAAATATATATATTTGTATTGATTTCGGAGAGGAAGGCAAAGGGAGAGAGAGATACAAACATCAATGATGAGAGCGAAAAATCACTGATTGGTTACCTTCTACACACCCCTCACTGTAGATCGAGCCCGAGCCCACAACCTGGGCATGTGCCCTTGACTGGAATTGAACTAGGGACCCCTCAGTCCAAAGGCCAACTCTCTATCCACTGAGCCAAATGAGCTAGGGCAATACCCACTATTTTTAAGTACAGTGCCAGTTATTCTAGTAGGTGATTCGCACACACATGCATATTATTCCATTTATCCTACTAGCAGCATAAGACTGGAGCTCAGATTGGTTGACAAATTAACCTGTCTTAAAAACCTGGTTCCAACACTTTCTAGCTTTATGATAATAAGTCACTTAACTTCTGAGTCTCTGCTTCTCCACCTGTGTAGTCTTACAATGTTATTGTGAGAATTAAATGAAACACAGGACATAAAACACATAGCACATGGTACTTAGTCAGTAAATGTTCTTAATTCCCTTCTCTTATTACTTCCAGGTGAATACATTAGTTTTCTCTCTTTCCCTCATGTGTATTTCCAAAAACTAAGTCCTCAGTCCTTTGAGCCAATTTCTTTACACTATATCTACACATCATGACATTTGTGAACTGAACTCCTTCAGAAATATGGTTCTGAATTATCTGTGTCCATCTCTAAGTATCCAGGCCCACATCACTAAATTTTGCTAGTGATTTCCACTTGAGAATCCCACTGCCAACCATATCAAACTGATCCTTTTGCTCACAAAACTAAGAATGAAAAGCAAACGACTGGGGTGGCATGAAATATTACAAAGGCAGAATTGATAGGATGGATGATAAAGAAGCTAATTTCATGGTTTCAAGCTTGTCTGGGAAAATTAGAAAAATTGAGAAGATCCTCATAGATCATGTCCAAAATTCCCCCCTGCTCCTTTTTCTCTTCCCTCACTCTTCAGACATGAAACTCTAATCCTTCTATTTTCCTAACCTACAAAGCCGAAAATGTTCTCATTCCTTTGAATTCTCTCACATTTAAATGCGTCATTCTTTAATCAGAAAAAAAACACCCAAAATACCTTTAACATGAATTTCCTTAGCCATGTGTTAATACTTTATAAATTATTTCCAATACTGAAATAAGTAATTTCAAAAATTATATTTTACAATATAGTTACTAGTCATTATATTAATTTCTCTTGGAAAGCAATTCTTAAAACTGTAAGTCTAAAAAATTGTCATATATTTAAAATATTATAGAATTTTAAAACTTTAAAAACCCAGATGATAAGAAACAATTAATCTAAAGTTTATTAAAAGAAATGGCTTTCTTATTTAGTTGAATGTACTATTATTTCAAATTTTGGAATGTTTTATTAAATTACATTTTCTTTACTGTGATCAAAACAGAATAACTGCAGGGTAGTAAAACTGGTTTGGCTTTGCTTATTTTACCTGAGTAGCTTTATCTTTCATACATGAAGGATAATGAACATGAGGATCCCGTGGCCACTGTCCTGTGAGATAAGGTCCTGTTATCGTATCCAAAGAAGAGGTTCGCCTTATTGTACTAGAGGTTCGAACTTGCTGAGATTTTGGTCTGTCCACTATAAAAAGCGAAAAAAGAAATTAGATTAGTCACTAATGAAGTAAAATTTAAAATTATTTAAATTTCATAGTCTGTGGAATGTCATCCTATAAATTTTCTCTACAATATGTTTATCCTAATAGCCCCCTTATATGATCTGATGAAACTTATAGACCCTCTCCAAAGAAAAATGCATTCACAAACTGTATCTTGCATACACTTACAGGGCTGTCACAGACTTTATGAAGCCAGGCATTTTAAAGACCTCTCCTACCATCTACACATCATCTGTACTGCCCTGACTTTATGAGTCCATACTGGCTCACTTGAACTGCCACTTTCCTAACTGCTGTGTCCGCATCCATTTCAACTAACTGTTACAGTGCCAACTCCTTCCAATGCTAAAAAACATTTCCATAGTTATTCATTCTTTAACTTAACGCATGTATTTTTCACAATATAGCTCCCATGTACCTCAATGTTTAATGTCTTGCTACTCCTCCATACACCCATTCTAACTAAGTGCCACACCAACTAACTGCAGTTTCCCAAATGTGAAACACTTCCTTCTCTGTCTCTATTACTTGCTCAGCCTAGAACTCTCCCCTACTCTGTTCACTTGGCAAACTCTTACTTAAGATATATGCATCCTACTCTGCTTGCATGGAACTCGAAGTTGAACTCTTTCCCCCACCAGAGCATAAGTTTAATCCTTACAAACTGAAAAGGAGTTGATGCTCGACACTTATTTAATGAATTTTTTACAACTACATAAAAATAGCATGTATAATGAAACTATAATTCAACTTCCTCATTTATGGATGAAGCCCAGAGGAATAAAACTGAAGTATCCAATGAAACAGAACTGCTAACAGGTGACAGAGGTAAAAAGGAATTAAGCTCTCCAGACTTTATACACAATTCAATCCAAACACTATAATAATCTACTTCTCCTCTCCATATGGGTACCATAAGTATTTCTGTTGAAAATTAAAATGATCATACACTAAACTAAAGAGGGTTTTTCATATATACATCCCAAATGATTTACTCTAACGTGCATTCTATAACAAAATCCAGTGGGTCACAAACTCTAAGGCTCACAGTCTTATTCTGAGTTATATCTCACATCAAACAAAATGTCTTGCACATTTCGGAAGGTCAAGAAGTATTGTTATCTAATGCTGTCCTTTATCTTCCTAAAACCATAATTCTAAAGAAAATGCAGTATACTCTGATGTTATCATACTTTTATATATCCTACAATTGCAATTTTGACTTCTTCTTTGACTCAATGGTGGTAGAAAAGATTTGAAAATTACCAAATTTCCTCCCTATCTTTATTATTTAGCTCAAATTTTATTTCACCACGAGAGGCCTATTGCATGATTCTCGTGCAAGAATAGGTCTTCCTTCCCCTGGCTTCACTCCCAGCCACCCAGGAGCCAGCAAGTCCTTGCTCCTGTAGCTCCCTCCATCACCCTCCCTCCCCCTCATAGCAGGTGTCCTGCTCCTCCTGGCCTCTCCATGCCTGCATATCTTTGTTAGGTTCCCTCACTCTGATTGGCTATGCGTGTAGCGGAGGAATGGTCAATTTGCATGTTTATCTATTATTAGATAAGATAGGCAGAGAAACTAAGATGACCTATTTCTACTCTTTGGAATTGCCTGCAAATTTTCTTTGTGACCCAAAAACATGGTAAATTTTCATAAACATTTCATGAGTCATGGAGAAAATATACTTTGTTTTCAGAACACCTAGTTCTTTGTCTTGTATAATACATCAGCTAAAATAAAAATACAGAATATGGGAATAATATAATTATCAGCTTGATCTGTCACAGATTTAGAAAAATACTCTAAATTTCTGAAGTACTATTGAGATCTAACAATTTCCTTTATTCTTTGCAATTTTTATCATTTACATTTTAATTCTGTATAATTTGCTTCCTATTAATTTGACTTCATCATTAATAACTTATACTTCATCATTTTAATGTTACATTTCCATTTTACTTTTAAACTCTGTCAAATTAAACATTATGACCTCCTTTGGCTTTCTTTTTTATTATAACTTGCCTGGTACACCTATTCTCTCCTTTTAAATTCTATGGCAACAAGATGATTTGTTCCTATTACCCAAACTATCACAGCAATTAGCCTCACTCACCATCTAAGCCTTGGTGGTTCCAAATTTTTATTTATTTAATTTGTAGTATTATCACCTTCCAATTCAGGTGTTATAATTTATTGCAATAAGGAAAATCAACTGATTTTGCATTATTTATATGCTCAACGTAAAGTTTTTAATTCATAAAGTTGTGATCAGAATATATATTTAGTTTTGAATTACGTGATCACAGTATTTCTCTACTAATCTTCTCTATATATAAAAGCCTAAGTGACCATTATGACCAAAAGACCAGAAAACTGGCTGGTGGCTATGATGCACACTGACCACCAGGGGTCAGACGCTCAATGCAGGAGCTGCTTCCTGGTGGTAAGTGTGCTCCTACAGCCAACCTCCCTCGGTTACTCCCCTTGGCTGGCGGGCCCCAAAAGGCTCCGAGCAGGCCCCAATAGGCTCCTGCCAGGCAGAGGGACCCTATCCATGCATGAATTCATGCACCAGGCCTCCAGTTATTACATAATGACCTCAATTCAAACAGATCAAATAAGGGAACACCTTATCAACCAGAAACACATATTAGTATAGTCAAACCATCTTTGAATTTATAGGAACTTGAATAAACAAAATTGCTAAAGTAAATATTTAATTATATATGAAATGTATGAAATAAAATCAATAAAATACTTATTGTCATTACTTAAGCTAACTAGGCACCAGGAAAATAGTACCTTCATATGTGGCAAAACTCAACATTACTACTAAGTAAAACTCACTGAATGTCTACTATATGCAAAGCGCTGTTTCATGTACCAAGAAAAATTACAAAATAAATTTTAAACTCCTTTCAAGGAGTTTATTTTCTTTTGTGGGGAGATATATCTATATAGATAAAAAGCCAGTGGCCATTAATTCAGGAACAACCGGTGGCTATGATGCCCACTGTGGCGAGTGAACCAGGCAATCAGGGGTTGGGGCTAGCCCGCCAACCTCCCTCAACCCCTTCCTCCAGCTGGCCCTGCCCTCTATGAGCCCTCACCACCCTGAATAGGGAGGGGTTGGGCTGGATGGCCAACCACCCATGGTCCCTCCCACAGGTCACTGCCCCTCCCCCAACTGCTGGCCCCACCCCTTATCAGCCCCCACCACCCTGATTGGCCTGCGGCCCCTCCCCCCAGGCAGCTCTGTTTCCTGATTGACTGTCAGATCCCAATCAACCAATTACCCATGGACCCTCCCCCCAGCCAGCTCAGCCCTGATCAGGCCCTGATTGGGGCAGGCTAGCCGGCCAACCTACCAGTGTCTTCTCCTCCCAATAGGCTCAGCCCTGATCTGCCCTGATTAGGGCCAGGCCGGCTGGATCCCACTCATGCATGAATTCATGTACTGGGCCTCTAGAGTGTGTGTGAGTGTGTGTATGTGTGTGTGTGTATAAAATTAAACTGTAGTATACAGCAGTATGTATGGAACATGTACATCAATGAAGGACAGGAAAGCAAACAAGGCAAAATTAGACAACAGATAGTAAGAATAGTAGTCTTGTTATGCCACTTAGCAGTTCTGTTGATAACATCTCTTAAACGAGAGTAAAATACAGAATAACTAAATTCAGCAATAGGAAATGACAGTTTGAAAAATCTCATTTATTTCCAGTATGATCATCATTGTTAGGAGGAGAAAATGACTGTTCAGAGCAGCACTATGTAAAAAGGCTTCCTTGTTACACTCATCTACAGGTTGTGCTTTCCCTCCCTATTCCTTTCCGTGAATAGCAAGCCATATGGCAGCAGCAGTTGATAGGCCTGGGGGTTCTCTAGGGTACTAACTGAGAACTATTCAAAATAATTCTTGCTCTCTAACAGCCAATTGGAAATTCAACTTTAAAGTAATAATAGTAAAAGAGCTTTAAAGCTGTTTAAGTCCGAGTCTAAATATCAAACCAAGCCTTGTTGTTCTAAACAGACAAGTGCTTAATATCTAACTGCCAGAACAATGTAATATGATGTTAAATCAATTTGTTCCCAATAGCCATTTTATTTTAGTGGAAGATGACTAAGTTAGTGAGGCTGGAAATCTGATCTCTGTAAGAAGCTAATCTGTAGTGGAAAATTAACAAAATTCAATAAAATTTATTCAATTAAAAAAGTGTTATTGAATGTTGGAAACTTTAAGGACAAAGTAGTATAAAACAAGCTACCACACCTTGCAATCCAAACTTACCAACTGGTAAACAGGATGCAATATTTGTGAGTGCTATGCTATATCCATACTGAGTGTAAACCAACACATAGAATAAAACAAGTGCTTACATTCTTTTCTTGGACTTTATTGTACTCCAATCTTTTCATCCTATGTTCATAAAGATGAAATAGCTACTTTAGTTTGCAAAAGTAAGTAGAAAAGGTCAGCTGTCTGTGTTAGGTCTCAATTAATGATTATTAGCCAAAGCTTTCCATTAACACTGATTACATAAGCAAGGCACATCTAAACTTAAAGAAAGCACTTAAATAATAATTTACCTAAACATTTTGAAAAAAAGAGCTATTGTTCCTTAAACTATTATTTAATGACTATAACTGCATGAAACTTAACCATTACAGCACCAAAACCAAGAATTAACTGGTTCTTTCTTTATTCAAAATCCATTACTGATTATGACTGTAAAGAATCCACAAGCCATACAATTCAGTAAAATGCTTAAGATAACTAGGCACTAATACCAAATTTTCCAGTACTTTACTACACAAAACTCATATTAAAAAACTAGATTGAATATAAAAACATCACATTAACAGTTAGCCAAGAGTATCAGAACACACATATGTAATATTTTGTTTTGAATGTAAGCTTCTAAAGTGTGTATCATCTTTTTATTCTTTAACAGTTAGCAT